GCATATATGAGATCATACGTGCTTCATAAAGTATCTACATTTGTTTCCTACATGTATTGTCGATCCTTTGTGATCCTGAATCACCATGAATCATTGCTCAAGGAACTAATAGAATTGCATTATTCAAGCATTGATTCTATATCATATCACTTGCAGAAGGTATCTAAGCCCTCTTGTTGTTGATACCAAGGAGCTCAACCTCGCTGGAATCCAGTCAGCTCTGCCATCACTGTCCACAGCAAAACACACGGATAAACTTACAAGATGAGGGTAGAGTTGCCAGGGATGACAGGAGGGAAGCCACTAAGATAAAAATGTCAGTTCACCGACACACAATGTCCAGCCGTAGACACATACCGAGAGCCATAGCCGTAGTCACTATCATATCACGCATTAGCAAACAGAATACCAATAGATCAACTGAAGATCAGGCAAACTTACGGGGTAATGGTGAGGACAGCCTTCTCGCCCAGGCTCATCTGAGGGACACCCTCATCCCAACCTATCCTCGTCAGCACAGAGCATCCTAGCGGATTCGGATCAAAATACCCTTGATGACACGGCCAGTACCGATCTGGGTCTGGAAGGGGTCATTCCGGTCGACGGAGCTGTCGAACCTAGGGTTGACGGTCAGTAATCAATTTAGTTGAAGAAAAGCAGGTGATCCTGCTCAGAAAGGCCGCGTATAGCTGTATCGGCACCTACTTAGAGCCGTCGGTCAGTCTACCAGTGTAGTGGATGGTGACAAAGTCGCCCTTCTGGGGGAAGTCGACGCCGTTGCCGGGGGACTTGAGTTCCTTGGTGACACCCATTGTGATTTCTGGTGGAGAATAGAGGAAGATGGAGAGGAATCTGGAGTTGAATTGAGATCAGGGGAAGGAGGAGATTTTTGCTGAATTTCCATCTCCATGGCGGGGTATCTCAACAAAGCGAGGAGGTGGGGGCACACCCCACCATCCCAGCTTTTCATTGGTCAGAATTGGAGAGAGGAAGATTATATCATCCTTGGCATGTGATTGGAGATCATTCGTACTTAGATGGCATAACGTGTCATTATTGCTCGAAATTAACTAGAGACATTGATTTTAGTATGGGTATATGTACACCGTCATCAAACATTAATCTAAAATGACTTTTTGATCCTCAATTGCCCATATTTGATGAGAATAATTGAGCTGAACCTGACTAGGAAGGATGTTAGCAATGCAGAAAAGATTGAGCAATGATATACTCTACACTACGAGAGCACAGGCGGCAAAGTTGATGTCACTGCGTTCGGGTACCTACCTAGCAAATCGAATCGAGAAGCTTGTGCCAGTGTACGACTATCTACTTGCGATAGTCATGCATAGCACAGTCTATTCTATGACTGCAATGGCATGTATCACAGGTGTTGTGATCTTTGAAAGGTCGAAATCGTAGCCGTCAAGGGTTACGAAGAGCCAAGGGCGTCGCCTCGGGTGTAAGACGCAGATAGAGATCTTGACAAATCTGCCACGCGCGCTCTGAAGCAGCATGCCGAGAAGCCATGGCTAAAAGCCAGTGCATGCCTTTCTGTATGTATCTTGAAATTAGCTCTGGATCCTTGGCTCCGTGCCTGACGCGCCAATCCAACTCGATTAACAGCACAGTGAGGGCTTGCATGAGATCATGCAAGACCCAGCACCAGGGAGCAATGCGACCCAGCCAGATAATGTCAGGCTCATCGGGCAACTGCGCGAGCATATTGCAGGCCGCATTGGTGCAGACGTCCGACATCTCCTTCCACCTAGAGCCGGTAGCTTGACCACTTCGCTCCCATCGGTAAATAGCGATCCGGGCAATCGTCATTTTGGCGCTATAGAACTGGAAAGCAAGGCACCATCGCTGCATCTCAAATGCCGGGTCCTCTTGAGGGCGACTGAACTGGAATGGCTCGGGCAGCCTTCTTTGCAGGGAATTGATGGTCGAAATAAGGTCTTCAAGGGCTTTTTCCACTGAATAGCTGCTCGACCTGCTGGCTCCAGGAGTGTAAAGCAGGTTGATTGCGCATCGCATAATCCGGGCTATTTCAACTGTGAACAAAAAGTAGAGCGACGCGCACGGCTTGACTGTGGGAAGATAGGTTTCGGCATCCGGAGCCGTTGCCGACAGCAGGGATTTGGAAAGAGCACGTCGCGCGTTGGCATCCGCGAGCAAGCGAGCAACAAACGCGTCCCCAAACTGGTCCTCGTCAAATGGCAGAGGCAACGGCGCCGTGCAGAACTGATTCGCCACGCTGTACGGTCGACCCGTCATGACTGACAGAGTAGTTTCGAGGACGTAGATAGACCACCAAACTCGACAACGGAGCTCTTTCGAGATATCCAATGTATCTTTGCTAACACTCCTAAGATGAAGACCCATAGCGATAGCGGAACGAGTTGCCGTACCGGATATTCTCCAAGCCCTGTCAACAGCGGTGTCAGATGAAAAGCACAAAGCGAGTAAAAGGTCATACTCGACATTTTACTTACCTATTCACTTGGCCAATCATCAGCAGATAGAATGCAGCAAGTCCTTCGATTTGGGCTTGTTGAATGCCAGGGTGAGGAATCAAAGGAGTGTCGGCCAATCCCAGCTTGCTTCCCCGGGAGAAGTATTTCGATGGGTCGTGCCATTCGTCAGCCTCATCAAAATACGTCAAGCTCAAATGCTGCGCAGCAATGGCAAGGATCAAGTTGAAAATAGCCAGCCATTTCTTTGGTGGCTTGGATTGAGGCTCGGAGTATATCCGTCGATACTGGTGTAGAAATACCGTTTTGCCGACGATGGGGAACCCAGGATGCACCATGTCAAAGTAAACGTCCAGAAGTTCGTCTGCGACATCTTGCGGAGGGATAGTAAATGGCGGCACCGAGAGATCAATCGAGAGCTCCTCACCATCCAGGAAATAATTGACGGAGCTGATCGAATCTGCAAAGAAGTCGTCTGGAGCCTCTGGACCTAACCATGAAGCGTCCAGCCGGCGCCCTTTACGCTTCAATTGATGCAACCATGACCTCCCCGAGTGTGCACCGATGAATCCCGTCGCCTGACTTACCTTGTCCTTGTTGAAGTCTTCTTCGATGGGATCGGTGGTCGGAGTTACCAGGCGGGTAATAGCGTCGACGGATAGATCGCTGCTCGGGCTGAGACTCGCAGGCGGCGTCTCCTGTGGAATTGTTAGTCTGAAAACATTCGGTTTCGAGCACTTCAAAAAGGGACTTACCTTTTCCAGAGCCTTAGCGATCAATGGCTGGTCCTTGGCATCGGCTCTCGGTTGAATTCGCCGCAGTAGACGGTAGAATTCCTTCAACCGCAGCTCGAGATCCTGCATTCGCCTCAAGATGAGGTCAGTAACACGCGCAATGTGCCAAATCATTGGAGCCAGTAGCCTACCTTGCGACCTTCTCACTCTTGTTAGCTACAAACACGCACTCGATTTTCAGCTCACAGCATCTCTCACATGGCGATCCCCCAGTGCATTTTGCCTTTTGCTCCCTGCAATTAATACAAGCTCTGCTCGCTCGACGGGTCCGAGGCTTCGCAGTCGTGATGCGCGGTAAGCTGACCTTGGGTAAAGATTGGCTTGATGATGATTGTTGTGGACTATCGTCGTTCTGGGTACCGCCTGGCGAGCCTTCTCTTTGACGCTTCCGTATCTGAGAAGCCTGACTCCGGGGGTCCATAGGGAAAGAAACTAGTCAAGTGATAGATTCAGACATAATTGAAGAACTGTTCGACAATTGCTTTATGATTGATCATGTATGATGAAGTCACCTGGAGAACGGCATTTAAAGTACCAGGGTGAGTATATCATGCCTAAGCCACATGTTGTATGGGCCCACAGCTGTCAGCTGGGCTGCTTTCCTTTTTTGGGGAATTAGTTTCCAGAAGATTCTCATCGACTCGCCCAATTTTTGGTGTCGCGCAGCCACAGACGTAATTGCAGTTCTTTTAGACAGACTGCCATTGAATAAATGGATCAAGGGTCTTTTCAAATTATTCCCTCGGATCTCCAATCACAACTGGAGTTGATGATCAGGGACTCTGCCCTGATTGATCTGCATAGATAAACAAAGTGACTGGACAGTTTGAGAAACAAGAACAGCGGGATGATGTCACTGAGGATTGATCAGCCTGAAAGGACCCGCCGTCAAGCCACTTTCATCAACAGCCAAGCCACATGGAATGATCGAAGCAGATTCTCCAATCACAGGATGTGTCTATGTCAGTCTGTGGGGATTGCGGATAATAATTATGCCCTCTCTGCTTGACAATCAAACAAACGCACAGTGCACCTTACCTCACACTTGTGCCAAAACAATAACAACCCTTAGCAAGTGTTGATTAGATGACTTTTTGATGGTTTAGCTCCAAAGATGTCCAATATTCTTCTTGCATCGCCGGATCAAAGAGCCAATGTCAACCGATAGCCGAGGAACATGATTGGGATGATGATTACATTGCTAATAATCAAGTTTTCAACTGGACAAGCAGTATTAGCTGTGACATTCAATCTTGAATTTCTTCCAGTGACATGCTGTCTCACTTCTGAATTCTCGGCTCTTTCGTTAACCCGTCGGCCAGTCGGGTGGTTACATGCTATCCCTAATTCCTGCGCCTATGCTGTCGAAGATCTGTGCACCACATAAGTTACACTATCCTCTCTTGGTCATGCACTATAAAATCAAGATCTACTGGCAGAGGACGAGTCTCAGAATACCCAAAGACTCTGATCGCCTCGCTTCAGGGTATATACATTTGCGAGACCTATCCCAAGCTCCGTAATACGCTTCTACAACAGCCTGCTATTGCCTCCATTGCTCTTTTCAGAACATATCCAAGGGAAAAGAGGAACGATAAAATCCACCATATTGATCATATATACAACAAATACCGTACAACATCATAACTATCATATCATCATGCCATGAACACAAAGCGCCCAACGCTTTTATACATCAAGCACTTTTCTTCCCTTTGCATCCACAGAAGCATCAAGCACACCCCGCCCTCCTCTTCTCAATATAATTCGTAATCGGCCCATCGCCACACCGCGCATGTCTCACCAACTCCTCCTTAAGCGAGATCAATCCATCCCGCAGACTCTGCACCTGGCACTGCAGCTCGCGTTTCGCAAGCGATAGGGCCTCGAAGCGGGATTGCAGTTGCTGGATGTACTGCTTTTTCTTGGAACGGCATTTTGTGGCTGCCACGCGGTTCTTGTGGAGGTAGCGTTGCCGTTTGACGGTGTCTGTTTGGGAGTCGTTACCGAGCGGAGAAGTTGCTTTCGTGGCTGGTGCTGTGGGCGATTGGGGGTTTATATGCTGAGTCTCTGTGCTGGGTTGTGGGGTTGCCCAGGGGAAGGGGCATTGGTCGAGGTAGAGAGGTTGAGTGGGGAGGTAGGCGTAGGTGTAGAGCTGAGGAGCGGCGGGATAGGTGTATGCCTCGGTGAGGTTCTTTGATGCGTCTCGGGAAAACCGGGGGAATTGGTTGGCGTAGGGGGACTGTGTGTCGTAGGCGGGTTGATCTGACGAAAATGATTCTGCTGGGGTTGTGGTCGTGTAATTGCCAGTTGAAGCCGGATAGTATGGAGGTAAGAAAGAGTTGTAGTAATCCCGGCTATAGCTGGGAGGAGGATATGATTCTGTCATTTGAGTGTACATATTACGTATATTACAACAAGAGTGGAGATGATAATTGAAGTGAGCAAGGAGTAATCAATCTGCCTGAGGACTTAGGAGCTAGATATATGCTTGCCACCTCGTAAGCTACACAGAGGGCAGTATGCACAGTGCTGACATCTGCGCGACATGATTACATTTGAGTTTCTTCGTGCCTAACTCAAATGCCTTGTCCTTGGACGGACTTGATTGGTGGGTGTGATTCAGCTTGAGTCCAAGATAGGTACGGGATGGCTGGCTCTTAGCAGCAGATACGCATTGATGCTTTCTCCCCGTGTCGTTTCTGACCCTGATAATCATCAATGATATCAGGACTTGTACTAAACGATTTAAACTTTATGCAGTCGATGTTTCCTAACCCGAAAGTAGATGCCCCTTCCTTTTCCCGTCATCCTTCCGAAGATATGGACAGGACGGGTTGGTTGATTAAGTCTGCACATTGACTGTGCCGGCATCTCGTACTCCCTCTGGTAGCTAGAACTGCCGATCTCATACCTTGGACTCTGATTTGTATTCCGGGTTTCCTGGGTGGTGCTTACTTAGAGGAGGCTGGTTAAACGATGCGTGCACGGTGGAGACGATCTTCATTATTGTTCAATGGGGCAGAAGTACCTTGGATGGTGGCGTTCGATTTGAAACGGACTATCTCCGGCATAGCCAATCGTTCTCCTCACATTGAATACTTTTGACCATTGAGGCATGCATTCATCTCAAGAAGACCTATAGAGCTGCACGCGGTGGACAAAGGTCGACAATCGATCCAATCGACCTATGTCAAGGCAAACCGATGCTCAAAACACACATGGCATGTCGAACGACATACCATGTTTGGAGATCATTTCCGATATTGATTCTCATGGGTGTCAAGGTCAGCCACGGGCCAGCTCGAGTGATTGTGGGTTGCCAAGGAAGAACCACCATCAGGGCATCGGACCCTCGAATGGAGTAATTATTTGGATCGTCTCATGAATGGTTCGGATGCCTTCCCCGACTGTTGAGTTACCATCACTAAGACATACCCAAGCTGAAAGTCAAGAAGCTGATAAGCTGATGCCCGACGAGAATGAGGGGTAACACGATCTACCACAGTAGCCCCACCACGAAACAGGCTCAATCAAGAGGATCGTCGATAATCTGGATGGGATACTTTTCCGAATCTACCAGATATCTTGCTAAGGTTGATTGGATAAGAATTCCTTTTGACTCTGATAATGACGCGGACACTGGATGGAGTCGGCGTTTGGAGCTATGGCATACAGTGTTTCGCTGCTTTGAGGATGGTTTTTGATAGCCTTCGACGGCTACAGTCGGCCAGTATGAACTGAATCGTCATGTTTTGTAATCTTCAGTCCATTCTCTGTTCTGAGTAGACGTTATCAAGAAACTCGAGTTCTATGGGATCTTGCTCCACGAGAAGACCCTGCCCACTATTGAAGCTTATTAGCATGAATATCTGCGCTTCAACGGGGATCACGTCAGCACTATTCATCTCAGGACTGCACCATGGAATAAAGTGCATGCTAGATACCTACAGAAGGGATCCTTGGGGTTCGGAAGAATTCCTGCCGGTCCTATTTGACCGACCTCGTTTCCAGCTGTCTTCCATTGGCGGGTGGTACTCGGGGAGTTTATCGAAGGTTCCGCAAACTCAATCCATGTGTTGCAACGAACGGGAGAGGCAAGTACTCGAAAGTCCAAGTGGAGCAGTGTACAGGGCGCAAACCGGTTCTGTGGATTGACATCGAGCCTCGTGTTGACTATGAATAACGGGGAGGCCTCGAACCTTTTCCTATGTATAGCGTCCCACATATCGAGCGTTTGGCTCTGGGCCGATCGATGGACACGGCTTACTGTCCATGGACTATCAGACATCTTCAACTGCACGGACATGACTCTTCACCAATCATGGCCAGATTGTCCATCTTTTGCAGGGAGTTACCTCTGCATATAGGGCATTGGTGGCTAAATCAATGTTCCTTGATGAATCCTCTGAGTTAAGACGCCACCATTGTGGGGTGTATAGACTGACTCTGTCTATGTCTCTTGAGAGTTTTTTTTTCTTCTCGATGATAGAAAGGGCGGCAACCTCTGTTATGAGATGTTGAGGACTCTCTTCAGAGATACTGTATGTTCCTTTATGAGCCCTGTCAAGGGAAGCAGATACCTCTATTGCTCACCTCACTTATTAATAAATATAAGTGGCCCCTTATCTCTCCTCAATTCTCTCAGAGTCATTATCCTTAAAAGCGCGAGGTTCAGAATGGTCTAACGCGTTGGTCTTGGGTTGGCGTTGTAAAACTGGGCACTTTATCTCCCTGTTATTCACCAAATAACTAATAACTTCAGTTGCCGGAGAATCCCTGTGTTAATTTGCTTTTCATAATTTTTTTACTCCGCCCACTATCAAACTTTGATGGATGCTCTATGGAGGGCGCAGGGACGTTCTTTCTATGTTGGAGTCTCTTCCATCAATTAGGCAGAGCTCCATTCTCAAAGTGTCTATTATTGCACACTGACCCTCAGAAACAGGCTTCTAAAAGACACCCAGAAATGAGCTCTTCGACTTCATTAGGGATGTCACTGTCTTCCTTGCGCTTCACAGTTGTCATCATTGTAAGTCCTTCCTCTATTAACTTCCTTTTCTCGTGCAGTCAATACACCAAAGCATGATTAGATAAATCCAAGAGCACATTTACTCTTTATGGATTGTCAGTCATGCGCTCATCCGCATTTTTCTCATCTTCTCATTCACTCCGTTGTTGGTTTCAGCTATCGTCATTTCCCACTGAAGAGACTGACTACTACCACCGTCCAAGGCTGATTAGGCACTTTCATCAAGCGGAGATGGAACCTGTCGATGCTGGTGAGTGAAAGGAATCACGCGGCCTCTCATATATCACAAGCTGGTTGAAATTCGCAAGAAACGGTGTCGTGGCCTTGAAGCCATTGAGGTTATGAAGCTCAGCTATTTTTGTAGCAAGAGGCTCATCTTCCTGAGGCCATCTTACAACAAACCATCCCCTTCGCTTATGTTGCCAAACAACATAGACAGGGAGAACGATTTTTGTTTTGTGCGCTGTATCGAAGTTGTAATCAGAATTGTTGATATCGACCGCCATAAAGGTGCGATCTCCCCTTATTTCGATGGCAAGGAAATGAATTCGACTATCATTCTCCCAGTTTGGAAATATTTCGTCGATGAATTTTCCTGCTGAGACACGATAATCATGGGAATCCAGTTGGTTTGTATGCACTTTGATCACAAGTCTTTGTGCTTCGGTCTTTTCGAATATCTTCTCGCGGATTTGAGCAGTACTAGACATGGTGGATGAGTCAATCGTGGGGTGACGGTGAGGCCTGAATCGTGGGGTGATGGTGAGGCCTGATGGAGTAGATCAACGAGGGTCAAATGCAAAGACGTGTGGCAGGCTATCCTTCTTGTACTCGACGTGAGTGGCCGTCGTACAGTTTGCCTGGTTTGCATTCCATGGCAGTCTGTTTTAGATCACGTGATTGCTACCTGACATCCACCCGTTTGGTACCAAAATAGTTTCATACCCCTCATTACCCCCCCAAAAGGGACGACACCAAAACTGACTACAGATGTCTTGATGTAGTCAAAGTTGTAAGCATGCCCGCTCTTCATGTGTTTGAGGTGTAAAAAAACTAAGCTTTCCCGGCCACAGATCTGCAGTCTTCGAATTCCCACGCAATATGGGTGACCAACTTAGTGATCCGGCGAAGAGCATTCTCGAGGAGATATCTGCTATAGTAGCAGATATAGATAATGATCCCGAAGGTGAAAAGAAGAGGGCGATACTCTCCAAGACAGACAGCGAGGTGGTATATGGGACAAGATTGCTTGTACGCAAGGTTTCAGACTTACGGCATCAGATGGACTTCCCGGCGGTATGTGATTCTATATGATAACAAAGGACTGTATCTTACATTATTGGAAATAGAACAGTACGATTGCGGTGACGAAATTCCTGAAGCCGACGGTTATTCTGAAAAAAGTGACTCGATATCTTATTATTCTGTCGGAGAAAGCGTGCCTAAATCCCGGAGGCGAGATATGTTATGGCAACTATACTATTACCCACGATGAGATTGAGGTTGACCCGGGTGCAATTATTATATTTATTACCCCTACACAAGGGTGATCTGTGTAGGCTCGATTGAATGGTGCTCTTTTTATGGCGAAATATTCTACATAGATGTGATATATATCCTTGTGCACCGTATCTAGATATCCTCGAATTATAACAATAATTAAATATCAAAACATTAAGCCCTAGCGAGGTCTCTGGCCAAGTAAACACCTCCTAGCAGATTGGTCCTGCCAAAGAGACAACTCGTTCTGCATCGTTGTAGTTAAAGGACATCGCTGAAGGAGACCGTCGTGTGCACAAATGTATGGGTGATGGCCCAGAGTATTGAAAGTCCGGGTAGACCCGCCGACTTGAGGGACATGGTTATTGCGATCCCCTGCAGGGAACATAGACCCTATCAGATCTGATATAACGTTATACCGACAAGGTGGAATCGGATCGTCATTTTGGCATGTGCTTACGGCGACAGCAGGCTGTTCATTTTGCATAGCCGCGAGTCCAAATAATGCTGGGTCAAAATAGTGATACCCGGGTTGTCCGTACTCATCGATATCAAAGTGATGGAAGCCGCCCCAGCTATAATGATCTGGATGAGATATACCTCGCATTGTGTTCTCGACAGGGATCGATTCAACCCCGAACAACGTTGGGTCGAAATAGTGATACCCGGGTTGTCCGTACTGATCAACGTCAAAGTGATGGAAGCCGTCCCAGCCATATTGTTCCAGATTGAACATGCTCCGGTCTGCGCTAAAGTCTGGGTCGTGCGGGAGATGCCCACTGGAGCAAGCTATATCTGAGGAGTTATATGGAGGATAGGCAGCTTCCAGGGATGCGTCAAAATCCCAGGTAGTAACTTGTGGAGCATCTTGATAAACAAAGCCTGGAGGGGAACTGTGGGCTGGGGAAACAGACAATGTGCCAGAAAGGGCACGTGTGCCGGTGTCGGAAACGATAGATCCTTCATCGATAGATCCTTCATCGATAGGACTAGTACTCGATGGCAAGTCTTCGTACGAGCTTGCTTGTTGTTCAGGAGATCCCCCTGTGGTGGGAGAGGAACTGTGGGCTGAGGAAACAACCAATGTGCCGGAAAGGGCACGTGTGCCGGTGTCGGACACGATAGACCCCCCATCGATAGGACCAGTACTCGTCGATGGCAAGACCAGGTCTTCGTATGGGCTTGCTTGTTGTTCAGGAGATTGCCCTATAATCAGAGACGAAGCGCGAGGCTGGGCAGTAACCAAGGTATCGGAAAGGACACATTGGCTGGGTTCGGATATGTCCGACTCTTCGTCAGTGGACATAGCACTAGCACTCGATGGCGAGACGATGTCTCGCACACAGGCCCCTCGTACTTGAAATGCTGGCATTGGCTTTTGTGTGCGCCACTCTAACAAAAGTACGATCAGTCACAGAGTCCTCAGCCAGGAAGATATACACACCGTAAATAGTGTGAAGAGAATGGTTCTTCTCAATCGTGAGAAGACAGTGGCGTTTCATGACCTTTTCCATTTCCACCCAGACACCACAGAACAGGCGGCCTACCAAGGTGTCTATAGCCCCTTTATTGTCAACCTCAAAGATCCCCCGGTCAATAAACATTTTAATCTTGCGGTCTCTAAGTTGTCCGCGCTGTGTTAAATCCTTCAACCTAGTGGGTGTTATTCCATCGCAAAAAGTAGAGAAGAGGTTTGGTAAGACTCACCATCTCTCTGTAACATCGGAAGGCAAATAAAATAAAGGCCCGAGGTACATGTAGTCCTTATAATCGCCTGCATCTGAGCCCTCGAAGGTAGATTGGTCCTCGCTCCCAGAAGGTTCGCTAGGAGATTGTTTTGCCAGGTCCTGACAGAGTCCGTCATATTTCTTACCGATTTTCGCCCATGACGTGATGTTTCGTGCGATTTGGTCAATGTCGATATTGATGGCTGAACCTATAACCCTCGCGATCCCATCGACAGTATTGTCGCGGAAATTTTGAACTCCAGACCTCACTTTGAGGTGAAAGAATAAGACTTTGAAAAATCGCAGGCGTAAATTGTCCTTGGAATGGCGCAATTCTGCCTGAACGACTGCTCTATAAGCTCTGGAGATCTGGCAGTGGCGTGCAATTTCTCTGTCGTCGTCGTCGTCGTCGTCGTCGTCGTCGTCAAAGAACTGGTTGCGGTTCTGTAACCATTTGGCAATGTTGGCCTGGTCCTCTGCTGGAATGACAATCTTGCTCTGGGTAATTTTGCGATGGCGTGGGCGTGGGTGGCTTTTGTTGATTTTGTCTTTGGTCGTCTTTGGTAGCTTTTTCCAAAGTTTTCGGAGGCATTCGATGAACTGTTCCACTCAGCAATTGTATAGTCAAGGGCCATATCCACAAACCTCTTGCTGACTGACAAGTTGCGAAAGCTGTTCAGCTTCAATGATGGCATTGCAAGCCACAGAGAATGCCTCCAGTGCCATTCTACAGTCAATGACTCTTATGATAAAGCTCCAAGGGAAGTGAAAGTCGAAGGTATGACATCTCCATCGATGGGGAGTCAGCATTCAAGGATCAAGCTATGGGCGGGCCACTATCACACTGAGGGCCTGCATGAGCGCTCGAATTGCACATGCTGAACCCCTAGCTATGGCAACACTACACGAAGAGGGGGATACAATTCCAGGATCAGCTAGTGGAAGTTGCTCTGGACAGGTCCTGGTCACAAGGACCTTTCGCAGGCGGTGATTCTTCCGCATGGGCAGCCAGCCACCAGTCTAGACCTCAGCGATATGCGGGGTGGTAGGAACGCCAAGGAAACACACGTCAGCAGCGGACTGGCATCCCAGCAAGAACAAGTTTAAGTCCCCTGTTATAAAAGCCGGAGGCGTGAGAGGAGATCCTGTAATGCTAGTTTCGGTGTCCCCGTCAGTACCTCCATCTTCACAGAGGGTGTATGTCACCGAGACATTCGACTGGGTACTCCAGAGTCCATAATGTGGGCCCCAACTTGAGCCCAAGCGCAGACGCAGTCACAAAATTTCGGGACTAACCGCCTTGGCCTACAGACTAACCGGTATATGTTGTCTTCGGATGTCATGATGTTACCTTTTGCTACTATGAATGTAAATAACTAGTTAACTAGGTAGTCCATATTAGCTAATCGGACCACGACCGACCGATTCCCCTGTCGGCCTGCTATGGATTGAGATTCAACCTTATACTCTACTCCGTACCTCGGGGTCCTAAGATACAAAAAGTGATCCCATACGACGTCCTCGATTGGCAGCAAAAGTGACAAAAAGTAGCCAATAGGAAAGTCTTCCTATCTCCGAAGTGATAAGCACGGTACTCAATCTATTTCCTCCCTCTTAATCCCAATAACAGATGTGTCATCAACGTTCTTTCCTCGTCAGGAATATTAACTAGGGATGACTCTCCTGCGAACTTGGCGGAGTTGGGTATTGATGGCGGGGACAGTTTCCAGGTATCCAGACAATAAGTGTGTTCTGTGGAGGGTCGGTTGTGTCGGCGGTGCAATTGCCTCGAGGGCACGATCCAGCCCTAAGCCACCTGTGGCCAGCAGGACAACCGCAGCCCTGATAGAAGCTGTCCTCCCACACACACATCTAAAACATTGTCAAAGTCTGATGCGTAAAAATCCGGATCGTAACAAACCTTTATTTGTAATTGTTTTCTGGGTGTATGATATGAGAGGTAGTAGAAGTTGACACGAGAGAGTATAAAGTGACAGAAGACACAAAACCACGGCTTTTATGTAGTCTGCTTCAGCTTGTGTTCAAATTGCATGGAAGAGGAAACGATAAGGCCAGCGATAGCTCTTAGTAAAATATTTATACCCTTTAAAAATAGTTGTAATAATCTATCCGCCAGGATATCAACAGCTTTCTAGGTACCAGGTGAAATACGATATTCTCTGTCGCATCAATGTACCTATCACCCTGCCTGACACTAAGCTGAATTTGGTCGATTTGTTCCGCGTGGAACAAGTCAGCCAAAAAGAGACCTATTCGAGGGAATCTCAGTAGCCAATCGTCATACCTTGTCTTCCGAAGTATAGAGGAATACCAGCGTAACTCGCACTTCATTCATTTCTGATGAGTCTATGTAAAATACATGAGTATGTAGGCTACTTGCAAAGCATGCAAGACTGTTTGAGCGTTATCTGAGGATCATTAGTGCCTCCTCTGTGACATATTGTTTTAATCATCTTCTCAATCACCTATGACACAGAGATCTATAAAGATACCAAATCTGACCAGGACAGCTCGCTGCGACTTGAGTCAGACAAGGCACAATTACATACTACAATGTTTTGTCTGGACTTCTTCGCATTCTGGCGACGCTCTGGCTTATCAAAACACGAACCCACAATTTCAGCTATACCTACGAATACGGCAGCACCAGACTACCACAAAACTCACCAAATGGAGTCGGCCCCCCAGCAGAAAACGTACGCCCTCATGGAAGCTGCGACTCAATTTGGTATCTCTTTCTTCGGACCTTATCTCGGATATTCCGTCAGCCATCGCCAAATCTTTCTCGCTGCCCACTTTCGAAGTGACCCTGATAATGCCTATCCCGTTGCCTGCCCAGTCCAAATAAAAGCCACAAATCTTAGCCCAGAAGATCGAGTTACACTCCAACTGGCTCTTGATACCGCAAGATCAAATGTACCCTTGAGAGTCTGGGATATACTCGAGCTTGAACGGGAACAATGTCTTATCGTCCTTGATGAAGATGGCAAGCCTGTCCGGGCCTCGGAATTCTGCGGCCTATAGCAGGCCCTGGAATGGGTGCTGAGAATGCTTGTTATTGGAATAAATTGGTGGAGGAGTGTCTTCACCGTGTATCCTAGCTATTTACTTATAACGTCGAAGAGACCCTCGAAGCTTTCATTCGACAGCTTGATCCCTATATGTTTATTACTCCATTACATTTTCAAAGCAAGGTGTCCACGCGACCTGGAACGCCAGCACCACCCACATGGGGAATGACGCGCAAGGTGTGTACTGATGTCACAGGTTGAACAAGTACTGATTGCTTGAAGTTACGTCGTATGTGTCTCATAGGATACTGCTTCGTGTGTAAGCGTTCGACAACGGCGGTGTTCCTGTCTATCTTGGCCCTATGTAACTCTGAAGCTGATTTGAAAGCCTGGTTTCTAGGACCAGGGCCACAAGGATTGAAAAACAAGTCAGAGAGATGTTAAGTGTCCAGACTCTGCAGGCTGCATTGTCCTTTCCTTCATGTCCTTCGTCTACCCTTCGTCTCTGTTTGTACCCCGAAAAGTATAATAAATAGCCTGTCCCCCCTCACATTACCATCTTCACAGTCTCATTTATCTATTCCGCGTCCGTATGGCTTCTCCTCTCAATTTCACTGGTGTACTATCCCCTATGATGCTGCCTGTAATGGAGGGTCTAATACCTGGTTTTAACCTCTTCGCCTCTTTGGCTTTCTCTATTTTCCGTGCCCATGCTTCAATCTATCCGCGCATTTTCGTGTCGTTCATTATTTTCTGTTTCTTTGCCCTCCCCGCATATTGGGGACGCGTGGAATCGTTTTTCCTGACCTTTGCAAAGTCCGCCGACATCCCGAGCCATGACAAATTATATCGAAGCGCGATACGATGGATATCTCGTCATCCAACGTTGAGAAAGACGAAGTAGTTTGTTGCCAGCACGAAAGCGAGTGTTTCCTCCCCGTAGGACGACGGCGATAACAATAACGATCAACACGACGATACCCTCGAAGACGAGCGTTTGTTTGAGAACGACCCACAAGAATACTGGTTTAAGAAAAAGTGTCCGGATGATCATGGAGTACTTCAGTCTACACCTTCACAGGGTCTTATTCATTATTTTCGTTACAAAGGGTGCTTCGTTGGACTGCGCTGACACTTGTACAGGGAATCTGGCAATCCATGGTTCGCTGTTCCGGAGAGGTTGACTTTCTACACTTGGTCGGATCGAGATATCCTCGACGACCTCATCAATGATATCCGGGAAACCCCAGTCAATAGAGACCCTCACGATGTCACTGTCTATATGGGTCTGAACCAGCCTCCGTCATGGGTGCCGATGGCAACGAAATTATCACGATCCCTATCATCAGTCGTCCTACTTCGATCTGAGTAACAATGAGCTGCTTCGAAGTCTTTTTTATGAGGATCCGACTGGCCTTACTGAGGTTTTGGAAGCTCGGATTTCCAAGCGAGCAGGAATCATGTATCCTACGGAAGACAGGAAGGGGGGTAAAGGCTATTCACTTCTTTTTGCCAACTTTGATGCTCGCTGTGAATACTGGACTTCCCTTGATTTTCGGCGGATAGGACGGTTTATTGTTAATCAATGCAGTTAAGTTTTTCATTCATGGCACGTTATCCTCGCGAGGGTTCAAGATCGGTCGACCTGACACATGTTATTTAACCATACTCCGGCATCCTTGACAATAGAAAGCTAATTAACAACATGGGGATGGTACACAATATGACAGAGCTCAATAGACGGCCACTCGTGGCTTTCCTAGACGAAGAGGACCACAGAAGGGAAGGAAGAGACAACAGCAACGATGTGGACCGGTTGCTGGGAACACTTGATACTGTCATTCAGCCTCCAAACCGTTCACAACTCGTTTCTGGAGACATTCTAGAGCATTAACAAAGAGGGAATGGTTTGCCATAAGGTGACCGTTATTGCTCAGGCTTGATTCCAGTTATTTCAGAACTCTAGAGTGTTGGCTGCAAGCGCTACTGCTACGTCTATTTATTCAGAACAAGGTGGCGAGAGATGTTGCATCCAAGGTATCAAGAAACAGAGAAGAGGATAATAAGATATTAGCTTGCTGCAAAGACATGTTGATGATATGCGCGTTCTCAAAAACACTATAGAGAAGATCATAGAAGTTGGCTTGTAGATCTTTGTTACATATTGCTGGATAATCTTCGAAGTTTGAGCCCGCGGAGCGTTGAACCGAGGTGTGAAGCTGTATAGAAATAGCCACTAACAGCAAGGCAGTCATCTAGGGTGAACACTGCATGTGGACAACTAGGAGGCATGACCCTGAAAGGAATATCAGCTAGATACTCTGATACAATCTATTATAATATACTTACAACAGGTCCCCTACATATAGCTCTACCATACCCAGCCTTCCTCATATCCTCGAGGACACTGAGAGCCTATAATAGCTAACAACCGAACAGCATCACTAGTCAGTTTGCGAGGAAAGTACCAGATCTTCTGGCCTTTGAGGATTAAGATCCACATTAGCTGACCTCCATTATCCACATGGATAGATGATATCGCATTTGCCCTGCTGAGAAGGAAGAATTCTCTTCGATTATCTTTCCAGTCTGAGTTAGTTTTTCCAATATTATCTGGGGATAGGCAGGATGTTTTGCTGTAAAGATCATGTTAGACTATTTCAATCAGGCAGAAGTCCCTAATTCTGTTCTTGATATCCAGGAGATTGATAGGATGTCGCTCGTGCAATGATACTTCCTGGACTGTTAATCTTTATGTTCTTAAAGTAGGCTCTATCACCGCGTAGTCATAAATATCTATCATCTTGTTTGGCTGCTCCCGTAGATGCTTCTAGAACGCATCTAAGGTCAGTTTATGACCACAGAGTGAATTCCTAGACAATGAGGCTTGGTGAAGTAGCAGCTTATTAAACTTTTTATCAAGGCAATTATGCAGAGCCTGTGAATCATTCGGGGGAATCAAGTCCCTATCTGATGTTAGGAAGATTGATGGTACCATTGTGATAATCTCCAGTGGACGCTTAGACATAAGCAGGCTTTCTATAATGTCAGTGATAATGTGCTCTCTTGGTTTCACCTAATTTGCTTTCTCATCCAACTTACATATGAATTGTTGAAGCTCAAGAATGCCTGCGTTGTCAAAGGTTGGAAAATCAAAATTGTATGAACCCCATTGAACTCACTTTAGGATATGAAGCACTTTCTGCCGCTTTCTATGCTCCTCCCTCCATTTCTTTCATTTTTGGAGTTTCTCGTCTGCCATGTACTGAATTAGATGGAAGATTCCCCGGCGGAAGAAGACGGTTGGGAAAAAGGAGCTTCTCTTAGGGTGAAGACGGCTTTTTTAGAGGAGTGGGGAACTTCCCAGGTGAGAAGGGGAACTTCCCTAGGGAGGGGAACTTCACCCTGTCAATCAATCCACCAATAAATGGTGGTGAGGTATCTTCTCCTGAATTAGTGCTTACAGCAAAACAACACGGCCCCTACTCACCACACTTATTCATCTGCAGCGGTTGACTTTGATCAGCTGGGAGTGTGACTGCGAAGACAACAGGCTAATGACTAGGACCATGATCATCAGCGAAGTAAACAGATACCTATCCTACTGAGTTTGTTATAGTATATATAGGATTTTCATATATTTCACTAGACTTCATGAAACGAGAATACAATCTAAAGTCACAGGTCCACGACTGGCTAGGGTTGAAACAAATTAGAAGTCTGGATCTTGAACAAGAGGTGACAGGGTGAGTCTACTGTCTTGGATGGCCTAGCTGTATTGTCTAGTCATAGTATATCCCCGTCACCTGTTAATTGTCATCCTTGTGAACCTCGAGTCCCAAATCATGGTATTGGGCATGCCTGCCCTCAACCCTATCCAGCACCTCCACAGCCACCATGCTAAACAAGACGAATCTCATAATGCTGACCTTGAGGTGAGTTAAAATCGAAGCCATACCTGACGTCATTATGGATGTTCATGGGAGGATGGTAGGGGGGTTGATTGCCTTCTGCACTCTGCTCCGCAGTTACAACTGCGCCGGCCACCCAGTGTGGGCCGCAGAAGCCATCTTGTTTAGTCACCAACTGTGTTAAGAGTGTATCTGATCGCGAAGAAAGTCCATCAAGATTACTAGCTGGTTCATCTGTGCATGCATGTCATTCTCAGTCAATGCTGAAAGCCCCCTGACTCTAGGTCGCGCTGCCATCCTGTCCATGGATATGTTAGGGCTCCGCCGGTGGCTCTGATGGTGCCTTGATTATGTGGTGTGACATTAGTGATTGAGCTCCATGCATCACAGCACCCCTAAGTCAACATCCATAGTTGGTGAAATGGCAGACGGAGCAATGTCTGACTGTTAAATATGGCTTAGCACAGCTTGGCCAGTGGCTTAAAGACCTTTAGCACAGTTGATGTGGGTCTTAAGGCACTTATCACAATTTCAGCCTACTAACCTCTCATGTCATGACTCACGAGCCAATCCCGCGTGAACTACCCATACTGTCTGTGCCACACATTGCCCTTTTTCAGACTTATACCGCAAGTGTTGCTCATTATGACTGTAGTGTGAATTCTCAGAGTAAGCCGCCTGCATAATTTTGTGATTATGTTAAATTCTGCTGTGTTCTTCTATTCAGCTAAAAGGAGAGAAGATTAATCAGAGGACAGCTTAAAAAGTAATGGGAAATGATCCTAACTTACTATAGTTAAAGGGGGTGGTAAGGTGCAGACTACCGTGCAGTGCATGGAGAGACTGGCCCAATGGCAAAAATAGCTTAAGTTAGTCTGAGTCAACACAGTGTTAAAGAATGGGAAAGTAATGAGGAGAGGCAGGCAGGCAAGGAGGCCATCTATATAGATCACACTGCTTCACGCACCATGATGCTAAGCAGCATCAAAGTGCTTTCCCCAATTAGGCATGCTATACCAGATGCAGTAATTCGCCGTCACCACAGAATATGGAGTATTTATTCTTGACATAAATGTCAGAAGGGCTAGTTGAAATGCATCAAGAGAGGCACTCCTCATCTTTCTTTTTCCAACAATAACATCACTTTGTTATTATGATCGTCGCAGATCAACTTGCCATTCGAATCTAACCCCGTCTTTGAATGTTTAGCCAACTATAATACACCCTCCTTCAACATGACTGCAAATCCTCAAAACAAACCAACTCCCTATCATCCACTAATACAGCAGATGTCAGTATCCCTAAGCGCTGACATGTCAGGGTCCAACACGTACATTCCAACAGTTCCCCGACGCTTAGCCTTCCTAAATAATCATCAGATGAAATAACTTAAAGAGCCGCTCGACGTATCTTGCCATTCTCTAACTTCTAACGCTGTCTCAAGCAGCACAATGTCTCTCACGGCAATATCTCTCATCCTCCTCCTCACCCTCACACCAGTCACGGCGACATGCTACTGGCCCAACGGTGACACAGACAACAACTACACCCCTTGCCCCAACAGCAAATCCTGCTGTCTCAAGGGCGAAGCCTGCCTCTCCAACGGCCTCTGCTACGGCGCAACCCTTAACATCGCCTATCGCGGTGCCTGCGCCGATAAATCCTGGCCGGTCCAGGACTGTCCGCATGTTTGCCTCGATAGTACGCGTTCTCTGTTCCCCCTTTGCCTTGCTGTCTGGCCTTGGGACTAATTTAAATGCAGCGATCCCAGATCACTGGGCAAATCTCTACTCGTGCCCCAATTCCTCAACGAATGTGTTCACGTGCGGATATGCGGGGTGGGCGACGGACGTCTGCCGTGCGAATCTGGGGCAGTGGCAGTGGGCGAGTGGGGAGGTGGAGGTTGCGAAGAATGGGAATGGAAATGCGAGCTCTTCTGCGTCTGCTTCTTCTTCCGGGGTGCAGGACATTATCACGACTACGTCGTCGGGTTCTGGTTCGTCCACCAAGACGGCGAGGGGGACGATTACGGGGGATATTGTCACGACTACTGGGTCTGCGACTGCTACGGCATCCACAGGGACAGGGACAAGTACTCCAAAATCGTCGGATACCTCTATCTCTGCGATGACGCTCGGCGCGGGGTTAGGTGTTGGACTAGGCGTCCCGCTGCTAGTCGCATTGGGTCTACTGATCTTTTTTATCCGGATGCGAAGGCGAGCGCCGGCAGCGCCAGCACCGCCGGTCAATGAAAAGGTCTACCCCGGAGCTGTATACTATCCAGGCCCAGCGGAGATTGCCACGCAGAGACACAATATGGCTACGGGGTTGGAGGGGTCGAGGCATGATCGACCGGAGTTATATGGGTAGTTAGTTTACGCTATGCTTGTATCGCAATGTACATTTCCTCTAAACCTGCCACCACCCCGGCGTGGACCATAGGTCCAGTGTACTAGCCTGACCCTGCACATCAGCCCATGCCGTATGTCCCACCCAACTGATATAATCCCAAACATCCTGACTCGATACGCCCAGTTCAGTCCCCGTATACGCCATCGGGGTGGTCTGTGGGGCCTGGATCTCCGTCTGCAAATCAACCGGATACACCCGCCCCGCCGCAGCAGGAGATGTTCCATCCGGCGAGTCAGACACGATCAGCGTCCCCAACTTCGCCAGCGACGCCCGAAAAATTCTCGTAGTGAGATCCAGACTCGGCCGCGCAGTCGGATGCCACGCCTCGACGCGCGCAATCGCCGCCATGGCGAGCTCGACCTGCTCCCTGCACGACTATCAAAACACTCGCAGGAGCTGGGCCATCGACAGTTCAAATCCCCTTTTGCGACTTTGCAGTATGATGCGAAACATTTGGTACAATCTGAATTCTTCTACTCGCCTGCTCAAATCGCCAAATTCTTCTTACCAAATGATATTCTACCAACTGACGATGGCCAAGTGGACGTGACTGGTAGCGTGGAACCTCAATGTCGAAAGAACTAGCTCATATCAAGTAACGGAATTCTTGCCATACCTTATGAGGAAGCTCGTTAGCTTTACGCCCCAATTCTTGAGCTACTGTCGACAGGAGTTCGAGTCTTTGAAGCCTGCCGGGGAATTAAGCTCATCGGCTCGTCGGGTCGAAAGCCGGTATACGCTGAAGTCTGAGGTCTATAAGCGCTGAGGATGACAACATCATTTTGCTATGCATCGGATTGTGAATGTGACATTTACTCAGCCATTTCCGAGGAGTTCCTACACTCCCCCTGTTGTAGCACCGCGTTTCTTCACACAGGGACAATGGCTATCACAGCTGCTTTAAGAGGTATCAATCATGAGAACATCACATGATGCTCTCGGCTATTCTTACTTCTCTCACTTCATCCGTGATCTCTTGTTCTCCTGGTGGCGGCCTAACTGCAAACATCAAAATGGGATGCCAGGTAGACACAAGGGATCCCTCCCATGGCAACTACAAAACCGACAATCAAGTCTCCGACAGAAGATGCAGGCATGGGCGAGGTCCGAAACCTTGCCCACTCCTTCAAACACTCCCCTTCCAGAGAACCTACGCAACTTCAGCTTGTTCGGGAACGTAGTTGATCACAAGGGTCTTGATTTCACAACAGGTATCGAGAGCAGTCAGACTGTTTTACGCCGAAGAGATGCTTGCCAATCAGAAGACCACCTGTGTGGATAGGAAATGTCCACGAGGAGAAGCTATGAACCCGAATTTGCGGATTATCTCGGAGGAACTGAGGAAGGGCCATGTCTGATGTGATGTTGACTTGGAGTCGCCTATCCTATTTTTAGATTAACCATCTACATACAACAGGTAGTCTTCGAAATGAGCTACTGTGCAGCAGCAAAAAAACGAATCTTTCATTGAGGACTCATCGCTCCGTCAATGTAGATACACCGATGACAGCCCTTGTAGCGATACGCCCCCGAGGTCGTGCACTGTTTCCGGGGTAATACGGCTGGCTACTCTCCAGCGCTTCAGTCGCGGGATTCAAGTCGATCGTGGTAAGCTTAGCCATACCAGAGCCACAGATTAAAATGATTCATTCAATGGCGAGAGATGAGCGCAGGTGACAATGTCAAATCAGTCTATTTCTTGCAAGTCTTGCCCTCCCTGCTCTACTGAGATTCTTCTGGAAGCCATGAGAAGGGGATGATCTCCAAGAACTGATTTTGCAGTGGTCCATCTCTGCGTATGAGGTGACTTGACGCGCTCTTCACAGGGCGGCAGTGCGATCACCGCAGCTGCTGTATGTCCTGTTGCAGTCTCCGGATGTTGTGACCCTTCTATTTGACTGCCCGCCGTCGGGGGCTTTTCGCTTGGTAATGGATTATGGATGTCCTTCCAGTTGTTGAGAGAGCGCGACGAGGATATGGCATCATGGTGATTAGGCCCCAATGTTTTGTTGCGAAGCTCAGAACATTTTTCCATTAGGGCCAAGGCGTCTTGCAGCTTTCCTAGGGATTTCCAGGTATAGGCCATGTTGTGCATGCTGAGAAGAGTATCAGGATGTTCAGCTCCTAGGATAGTCTTCCTCATCTCCAACACTTGCAACTCAAGCTTCTCAGCTTCATCCCATCGTCCTTGCTTCCAGTAGATTAATGCCAGGTTTCCCATACTGGTGAGAGTATCAGGATGTTCGGTCCCTAGCACAGTCTTCCTCATCTCCAGTACTTGCACTCCTAGGCTCTCAGCTTCACTCCACTGTTCCTGATTTAAGTAGGTTAATGCTAGATTTGCCATGCTCATGAAAGTATCAGGATGTTTAGCCCCTAGCACAGTCTTCCTCATCTCAAACACTTGCATCTCAAGCTTCTCAGCTTCATTCCATCGCCCCTGATCCCAGTAGGTTGATGCTAGATTTGCTATGCTGATAAGAGTATCAGGATGTTCAGTCCCTAGCACAGTCTTCCTCATCTCCAATACTTGCAACTCAAGCTTCTCAGCTTCATTCCATCGTCCCTGCTCCCAATAAGTTGATGCTAGATTTGCCATGCCAGTGAGAGTATCAGGATGTTCAGCCCCTAGCACAGTCTTCCTTAGCTCTAATACCTGCACCTCTAGCCTCTCAGCTTCACTCCATCGTCCCTGATCCCGGTAAGTTAATGCCAGTTTTGCCATGGTGAATAAAACAGAAGGATGATTGGGCCCAGTTTCCTCCTGTTTGATCCTTATTAGCTCGGTATATAGCACCTCGGCTTCGCGATATCTTCCATCACTTTGCAGGCAGTCTGCAATATTCTCAATCAAATCAGTATACTCTTTCCACTGTGCTGTGAATTCGTCTTCATATGCAAGGGATAAGGCATGTGGGAGATATTCTCTCCAAAGTCCTCGATTTGTGTAATGATCATCTGGGAACACTTTGCGCATCTGATCAGCGGCCCTCCGGATCCAGTAACTAAACAGTGCATTCTGCCGTAGCCAGTTCCTCATCGCAATATGCACTAGTCTGTGTAGGTGTATGCCTGTATCTTGGCCGTTGATAAATGCATATGCGTTCAGAAGTCCCAAAGCATCAATTTCGCGTTTTCTGGATGTTGCCACGGGAAGAAGGGACCGAGGGATGTTGCGTGGATTAATACAAGCCATGAAAGATAGAAAGTCAGCTGCCAATTGATCCTGGCGTTGGATCTGTTTGAATGAGATCAACCATGTGGTGATCACTGGGTTCTGGAGATCCTTATAGCGTCCTTCATCTTTGAAGTCTTCACTCAAGAGTTCCACTACCTCTGCTTCCTGTTCTTGTAAAAGCACAGAGTAGGTGGACAGGCTCAGGCCATTTTTGTTAATGTATGCTGATGCCTGCGTGATCGCCAAGGGCAGAAACGCCAGTTTCTCCAGAACAGTAACTGCTGTGAGATGATCCTGAAGCAGACCTTTGTCTACCAGTGACCTTTCGAGAATTCTTAATGCAGTGTCCTCATCCACATCTGGAATAGGAATGATATTGGAGGATGTTAGCTCCACAGCAAGCTTCCGGTTCCTTGTGGTGAACAGAATGCGGCCTTGTTCACTCTGCGGGAGAAAGTCTTCAAGAGCTGGACCTGCACCATCATCTGACAGCCACATGTCCATATCATCAGCATTGTCAAAAATCAGAAGCCACTTCCCAGCCTGCTCGGAGCTGAGGTATCTTTCAACTTGCTCTTTGACTTCTGCCGGCTTCACATCGTGAAGTCCAAGAGCTTGCGCCATATTCAGGTACGTCTGCTCGATCACCTCATAGCTAGTGCATGCGACCCAGAATATCGAGCACTCCTTATCTCGATCCCGTATGCGGTACGCAAGCTCCAAGGCCACTTGTGTTTTCCCAACCCCTCCTAATCCTGTAATGGCGACCTTTCTGGGCCCGCCTTGCATTGTAATTAGTTCTTCCAGTCTGGTGATTTCATTTCGACGACCAACGAACCGCGGATTCCTTCCCAGTGGAACCATGTAGTGACCCATTCTGCTGTTGCTCTTTATCAAGCTCTGATTCATGCGAGAGACGGGCATGGCCGACAACAACCATTTCGCATAGGCAGCTGCTGTCAAAGCCGCATATCCCTGCCACTCTTTCTGTTTATGAGAGTCGCAGTAGTCGCATATCCCGCGGATCACCAGAGTCGGAAGCCCATCCATGAGGCCTGCTGCTTCCATCTCGAAACAGAGTATGCCATGCTGATCAGCAAGACGGTCTCGAGTTTCAGAGTCCTTCATCACTTGATCTCCAGATGCGATCAACCCATAGTGGATATGAGGTGTGTTGGCTGTACGCGGCGGTCGACAGACCAATTGCTCTTTATCGCACTTTTCACAGTTGCTTTCTGGGTCGGCATGGTGATACGAGGAACGAAATAGATAATCAGACTGCTGATTTGGGGGCGAGAATCGGTCTTTCATGTCAGGATTTCGACCCAGTACATCCCGCACTATTGTCGAAATAGCATCCTCTCTTCTAATCATCTGCCTCGACTCAAGATGAGCCACATGTGTCAGAAGAGTCTGTGGTGGTTTGTTTAATGTGCCAGTCGGCTCGAAATCTCCGCCTTGAACTGCCTTGCCGTAATCATATTGGATCACTCCGCTGTATCTTCCGACCGGCTTGCTGACGACCACATCACCCAACCGGATGTCATTACTGGTACTAGGTACCCCTCCTCCGATTCCCACCATCAGGCCAAACTGGACCCGTGGGAAGGTCGAGACCATGTGAGCCACGACTGTGGAAGCAGATATGGTTCCATATATGCCATCTGGCAGACAGGCAATCACGATATAATGGCCGTTCAATTCACCAAGGACGTATGCGTTCGGATCAGTGGAAGGTTTAGGCAGGAGATTATGGGTCTTGTCCAGCATGACGCTTGCCGCTGCCATCTCCAACGGTAGGGCGCATATCCACGCGACCGTGTAGTCATCGTGCGTTAAGGCCATCGTGTCGGAAAGAGAAACAGAGCATAATTAGTGAAACCAGGCTCAGGGAACTCACGTATCCAAAAGCGAAGGAATCTAACTGCGTACGGGAGATGTCGAGGAAGAGTTGGAAGGGAGGGAGGGGTAATCGTGTGTTCTGACAAGGCTGACTCTTGAGCACCTGCCTATTGGTTGATATCTTGTCACTGAGGCTGGACAATCATTCCTACCACCCAGGAGCCATTGGATAATCCATCATAGGCAGTGATTTAGCCTCTGAGTATCAACCCCAGCCCCTAGGCGTACTTTCATCCCTTTGTCCACCTGTTAGCCAATCTATGTTCACCATATTTGTATGTCATCATAGGTATAGTCCTAGATACAGATGAAGATCCTCCTTTTAATCTATCGTCTTAATCTAAATTCTATAGTAAGGAAACGGGATATTTAGAAACGAACTGTGTAAAGCGTTTGTAAATTTGTATAATACATGACTAAGTCAAAATATCATGATGTATCGAGGTACTCTCAGACTCTCAAAAGCATATATTTCTATTTCTGGTCATGTAGACCTCCTCTTGATTAGAAGGCTTGATCTAGGAAGCAGGAGTAAAGCTGTCCGGCCACACTCGCGATGCGAGCATGAATGTTTGGCTCCAAGAAGCGAATATGTCTAATAAGAGATGCTGCTGCTATCCACAAGCTTAAAATCTATGAGAAATGCTTCGGGTGGCCCATTTCTCCGGTAACATCAGAAGTTAATCTAGTCCCAGTACAAGGGCATGAGATTCGGCATTCGCACAACTCCATAGCTCTTGATCTGTCTAATTGAGTTACCCAAAGCCTCCCTCTCAATACGTTCTTCGTCACTCAATTCTGTTATTTCTGAAAATACCAGTCTCTGTCGATTTGGATAATGCATATTGTCAGTGAAATATAGTATACTGGGCGTGGTACCTTTCAGACGAATCTTCGGGGAGCACCAAAGCAACTGTTGTTTCACCTACCAGATCGTTTTTCCATTCTGTAAGCGCTCTGCTCAACAAGGTTCGTGCATCATATGCAGGGTCACTTTCAGAAGGAATATAATCCGCGATATTCCAGTCAGAACCGGGCATGCTGGGAGAGTCATCAGCTTCAGGAGCCGCGTCAATCAGGTCTATAGAGAGTAGTATGTTAGTCACTAGGGGTAGATGAATTAAAACGGAATTGCGTAACTCATTCGTTGATATTCGAGATACGCCTCCTGCCGGGCCCGGCGCGAGCTTTGCCTGATCTGTTCCCAATGGCCATCTGCTATGCTCCACTCGTGCGGTTCGGTGTTTGCACTTTCTATTTGACTTTTCCATTTGCGAGTGCATTCCTCCAAAATGCACTGTGCTCCATGGTCAGGAATGTACTTCGTTATGGCGGGCTCGAAGCGCGAAACAAAATGTGGCGACGTCAGGTCGAGAAGTTCCTCGAAACAATGCACATGATAGTAGTCTATAGAAAGCCCTAATTTCAGAAGAAGAACCATAGTCCGAAAGGGATCCACTCTTACCTGGGCTTCCGTATACATTACGGCCCGGGGACACTGCAATCCTATAATCACCGGGAAGGATACGATCGGTACAAGAAATCCCCCGGCAGGTTGCTCCATTACGCGAGTCAGGTGCTTTCTGTAGCAGGAAGATGGGATAGTGAGATAATTGAGCATCACCAGAGAAGCCAGACAAAAACTGCGGCTTCAGATGGCGCATAAGATTGCGTTTATCGGATCCAATGTCCTCTTGTCGTCTTTCCTCCGGTGAAAGAGCCTGCCGGCGGGCGTGCTCTGCTGCGTGCTCTGCTTCCTCCCGCTCGCTCGACATCCTGAAATGCTCTTGTATGTCTTCGTCAGTAATTGAATCTGCACTTCGACCCATCTCCCGAGCGATTCTCTCTGTGAGTGTACGCCTTCTGCGTTCCCTTTGACGCCGTTCCCGATCCTCGCGCCTCTGTTTAGATATCGCATCGATCCGATCTGGCATGGTCAATGGCCTCGTATATAATCTCACAGTAACAAGTACTGAAGAATAGGACTGTATATTAAGAACCACACTATCCCACGTATCGACTGTGCAAGAATTCAGATTCACTGTATCAAGGCATTAGCAGGTATGTGTACTGGAGGAGATGATTGTCACACCAGAAGTCTCCTGGCAATGCTCTGGTGTTCCAACTTATTTGGCTAAAGGATATCTTTGCAGTTTCAAAGAATTTTGGGATCTGAAGTGTACAGCAAATAGATATATACAAAAAAGCCGGTTAATTCTTCCACTGACGGGGGCTGGGTGTTAATATAGCAGTTTCAGCAATTCGCGCTAATGAACTGCGCCTCAATGCCTGCGCTTATGCTTGACGCCAGCAAGGGGCACAGTGCCATGACTGCGTCAGGTAGACAAGAAACAACAAGTTGATTGGAGGTATCCTCAGCGGACCACGCCTATTAAGGATGGCCCACCTCAGCATAACGGCTCGGCGAGGGCCGAGCCGCACAGCACAGCCTTGCTATGTACGAGCCTATAAGATGCAATGATATGCTCAAGGTACCCAGTAGTAATCCTGACTATACTGTTGCAAGAATAAAATTTCCTTCCAATCTGACTGAACCTGCTAATGGTATCAATCTGTATGTTCATAATAATCCTACGTAAAATATTATGCACCAGATCAAGGTTGGAAATGTCTGGTCTTATCGTCCAGATGACCCATGCCCACTATCTTGACATTAAAAATATTAAAGGATAGACATAAAAAATCCTCCTAGCTAGTACCGCTTGCAGCTTGACTACTTCTGGAATGGTGATGCAGAGCTGATTAATATCAAGGCACCTGGTGTTATCTACATTCTGGTGGTCAGGTCTCTAGCGCTGGTGAGAAAGAGCACTGGGAGATCTGGCAACAGATTATCAGTAGTGCAAGTATAGATGCAGCACCAAGACTATATAGGCAACATTTATGTTTGTAGCCATTTCCCCGGTGAACAGAAGTGCCTGTAAGATACGCTAGCTCTAGTTATATAAAAAGTGCCCATATGCAACTAAATGACGCTAAATACAATGCAACAAGCCTTAAAGAGCAGCACGTGCACCCCCATATCGACCAGATGTGGCCGAGTAAAAGATGTGTCCAACAAGACACAGAGTCCCCGCTTCTATGAACCGTTGCTGACCGTCCGACAACTCGCCCGACAGCTTCAATCTTTTGAATTCCTCAGAAAACTCAGTTTCCGTTTCGAGAATGGATTCGCGAACGGCTTACTGCGTCTACAGGTGACTCTTCGACGACGTCTGAGAGAAAGAAAAGGCAAAGTTATAAACGTACATATACTCCAGTAAGGCCGTTGCGTATACTCACCATCGTGCAAGAAGATAAGCAGCATAGACTGCGCTATCATTCCCGCTCTGACGGGACTGGCATCGGGAAACATGTAAACCGTCGATTTGACGGCCGTGGCTATCAGCTCATTCTCTTTGAGTGATCGTTTATCGGTAGAAGTTCTCTGCAAATCGACGGGGAGTTTGCCGTCATCTTGTGGTTCCTGTTTGTAGTTCTGATAGATAGCATAGAGAAGCTCTTTCGTCATACGTTGTGCGGTTTCCCAGTGCTTGCATTGACGGCAGCCAGGAAACTTGCTGGGCCAAGGGATGCCCATCATCGACGGGGACAGTGGAATTGAATTGGCATCTCCGTCGCCATTGGTTGCTTCGAGGAAAGCAAACAAACCGGGATCAAAGGCACTGTCGTTAGAGGTCTGGATAGGATCATAAATATGGGAAATTGGCATGAAAAAATTGGTTTTCGGGTCGTTGGCGAACGACGGCATTTGTATTGATGGGCTCATTATTCTTTGCGAGATGTTGTGACTGAGAAGGATGAAGATATTGCCTCTCACTAATAACAAGTGAAAGGCTCTCCCTTATAGCCATGTTTCTCATGTTTGACGATCATCAACAAATCTGGCGACTCCATCCTACTTCATCAACCTGCATGGCATTCTACAGCACCTGCTTCGGGTATTTAACCCGCAAATCACACATTTGCCAAAGGAGGATTAAATAGGCGAGTGTAGGGCAAGAAACTTGTAGATAACGTCACATAAATAAGCCACTCAAGCCACTTCACCTTGTGAAGATCTTTTTCGGACTCCGTGGTGGATGTTACCAGATAGAGGCAAGTACAGCGGACTATATCTACAATGTGGACTTTTGGTATTTTTACAAAGATTACATGCTACCACTACTGCTACCCTATGATTGCACACACTGCATGTATAGTTTTAATATTAAATCATCACCTAGTATAGATATCAATTCAATACCATAGTATTTAATATTAAATCATCACCTAGTCGAGATATCGATTCAACATCGAATCATCATCTAGTCGGGATATTGATACCTTAGTATTCAATATTGAATCATGTTGAAGATATTGAAATCAAAGAGGACAGTTCCACGGCAGCGATCCAAACGATTCAAAGAATGGTAAGAGGTCCAGTTGGTAGAGGACAGGCCCACGCCACGACCGAGCAAGCTTCAGGACATGGCTGAATCTGCGAGTAAAACTTGGATGCTGTGGCTGTCGGGGTCATAACCAAACTGCTCAGCCCAAGCAACTGAGCTGGGGTGAAGAGCTTCATCTTGCGCGGGTTACTGACCTCATCTCACGGTATTCTCTCACCTTTATACATCTCCTCCCATTTTAGTCTCTTTCGGGGGCCTCTTGAGCATCACAGAGGGGTATCGCCTGGCCAACATCGCCAACCCCTCAATAATCCGCTAGAATAATTGAAAATCATGCCAGTACAAGACAAGTGCAGAAACTATCACGCCATTAACAAGACTACAGAATTTAGCTGCTGACCGAACAGTGGTTAGCTGTTTCATGCATTTCATTCCCTCAAATCTATGTCTAACAGCTGACAATCACCGAAGAGAGAGCAGTCGATTTAGCTAGCTATTTGGGTTGTGGGTGATTGGTTGGTTAAACCCCATGGTTCTTGGATAAAAGTTATAGTCACGCACTCCCTATGCTATGTACTTTTGTCATCAAGTCAAGAAAGATCAAGATAGGGGCAGTCGTTGGGGTCAGTGTAGAAGACACCCCCCAGCTTTTTGATCCATCTGCACTGTTCCTCCATATCATGCGCATTGTGGATCCGCGCTGCCCCCATAGCTCCTGCTTTACCCAATATCATGTGTAAAGCAAGGACCTGTGAATTTCCTGTTGTGATTAGTTTTGCTGTTTTGGGTATGGTCTCCTAATACACTATCTTATAACACTGTCACATTATGACCTCTAGTATATAAGAACCATCCCCTTACTGTCCTAACCATCATCTCTCCTAACCTCTTTTTTCCCCCTAAATCCCCCTAAATATTCTACACCCTTCTGGTCACTCCTGTTATTTCATCTACCTAGATAGCTACTACTAACCCCCCTCTTTTTTTCCTATTAGAAATTATAGCTATGCCTCCCCCTCTCCTCTTATCTCTACTTTATAGTTTTCTTTCTAACTATTAGTCTTAACTAGTTGTTAAGCTAGCTAAGCTAATAATATCTCCCCTTTTTTTTACTTCTAGTGAAATCATCTAAATCATAGGGGGAAAAAATAAGATATATTACCTAGTTATCCTTAACTTACAGTAAAATTTATTAACTTAAGAGCTATAGTTCTGTAGATAGTCCTCTATATTATTTACTTACTTAACTTTACGGTCTGTCTTTACCTTCTAAAAGAGTAAGACACAGATACTATAACTTTTAATAACTCTAAGGTTAAATATACCTTACTACTACCCCTACTCCCTAGTATTTCTACAGTTACTAGTTCTAGTATTATATTTGTGCTAATTATGTATACATTACTATATATATACTTGAGTTACCTAGATAGTGATAAGATTATACCCTTAGTGAAATAAATCTAATAGTATAAATACCTTATTAGTAATACTATTAGAATCTTATTTTTAGTAAAATAAATCTAATAACATAAATGCCTTACTAGTAATACTATTAGTAATCTTTATAACTAATTAGGGTCTTATCCTTAACTTTCCAGCCTTCTATACCCTATAATATAAGCTTATAGAAAGAACATTACTAAAAGCACTATTATCTACATCTCTTATTAAATAGTTACTATGGTCATATGATGAGTGCATTCAGCAATTACTAATTATGGGTAATATTAGGTAAATCCCTTAGGTTAACTAAAGCCTTGCTTAGGATGGTTATTCATAATTAGCTAAGTATTAAATCAGGAGGGTATATAATAATAATATCAAAGCACTATATAGCAGGGTTAGACTGCAGGATCTATAATTCTTTAAAATATAGGAAAATAGTAAATCTATACTACTATACTCTGTTATTAAGCATAAAAAGATAAGCCTAGTAAATTAACATCTGCCTAGCTAGGGCAGGTTATAATACCCTAGTCTATCTCTTATTAAGCAGCTATGCACATAGCATAATTTACTACTTAAATTCTATACCTTCTGTATTTAGTTCACTTCCTAACTCTTACCTCATCTAGTATGAATCATCAGATTTCTTATAACAGACCTCTAGTGACATCATTATTTCCTGTCCAAAAGTCACAATTTGGCACTGTCCCTTTCCCTCACACTTTCCCACCCTGCCATTTCATCCCCTGCCCCCTAAACCTCCCACTTCCAAGTTCTTTTCTCATGCATACACCCTACCTGAACTTCCAACCCCATCTAAAAGCACCACATCTCCATATATTAATTATGGTAGATGCATTTATATTACTAGTAAACCTAAGTTGCCTTCTTTAGATTATTAAATTAGGGTGCTTAGCAGTACTAAAGCAGAGAATATTATCTTATTACGAAGTAAAGGTATATGCAAATCTACCTAGTTCTATTATTAAGAGGCGTTACTTAATAGTAATTCTTTTAGATACTACCTAAAGTCTTAAAAGTGACTATAAAGTAATAAGTAGCTTTAGCTTTAATAATACTAATCCACCCTGCCTAGAAACCTTCTTATGCGCGCAAAATTATGATCTATTTAGGTGTAAGTTATCATTATTGGCACACTGTACTGATAATGGGATATATCATGCTAATACTAACCTAGTGTTAGAAGTACCTGATACACCACCATCTACCTGCAAAAGCTCTGGCAGTACTAGTGTAAGTAATAAAGATGATAATAGTTTCTTAAGTTATTATATGCTATATAAAGGTGAGGAAGGCTTGCTGGATGTACCCTAACTAAAGGTCTAGCCCTTATTTAAGCAGGTGGCTGAAACATCCCCTCTATAGCTTAACTATTAATATGCTGCTTTAAGTAGCTTGTATACCAAGGTTAATAGTAGCTAATTAAAGCCTTCTAGCTAAAAGAGGCTGTTATGCACTGTATTAGAGATGGATAAGAAAGCAAGGGGTCCTTGAATAAGGGTAAGAGTTAGAGCTGAAGTATCTGAAGCATCTAGTTCATTGCCTACTCCCTGCAGTGCTTAACCTTATTCAGCGGCTGAAGATGAGGTCCTATAGATATTAGTAGCTAGAGGGCTTGCATGGGAAGATGTTGAGAAGGAGTTCAGGCTGTGCTTTACTGGGGGGGGGGGGGGGGCTGGCTGATTGGACACGGTTGTTTTGCGGTTTGAAACTGCGACACCATGAGCCTGCTGGGTTACTTCAGCTTTCTGATACCAAAGCTAGTTACAGTACTAATTACTTTCAACTGCGTAGAAGGCAGGAAAGTCATTGAATCTTAAGAAGTCTGTTTTTTCAAGAAAACAAAGGGGAATATTAAATATCCTGCTTATATTACGTACATAGTTATGCTCACTGGTGAGATTCCTTGGCCTCATTTGCTTTTTCTTCTCTCCTTCTCATCAACCCCTGGCGAAATGCTTCAGTATACTCATCCGGGTCCCACGCCAAAACCCTGTCTTCCATCTCCTTAAGCTTTCTCGTCACTAGCCGTTCCATCTCACCCTTTTGGTTTTCATCCAGCAGGTCCAACCGCTCTTTCCATGCCTCGCTGGGATCGTCGGTCTCCGTAGGCCCAAAGAACCGCTGGTCGATTTTCTGCCAGTAGATCGCATCAAACGCAAAGCTGTGCAAAACCGCATACACCACCCAGAAGTCTCCGCTCTCCCAGCTCCGCTGCATCTGATCCGAGAGCCGGCACTGGCTGTACTGAGCGTCCATATCTTCACAATGCCTCATTGCCGTGAGGAACGTCTTTAGGCGGCGATCGAATACTTGGGCCCAGTCCTCTATACCTTTGGACCAGTATTCGGGCTTCTCGATAAGGAGCCACCATGGTGGCGCGTATGAGAACTCCACTGGTGCTGCATATGTGAACTCCCAGTCCACCACACCGGCAATATGCATATCTTCATTGAGAAGAACATTGGCTGGCCGGAAATCATCACACCACAGTTTGAATGGACCATTCTCAAAACTTGGCAGAGACAATTTCTTATCCCTGGCAAGCATGTAAAACAGCTGTCTTGCAACAAACTTCCGGCGACAGTCATCTGCAGACTGCACCGCATCATTTCTTTGATGCAGTAAATGTTGGATGTTGAGCTGTGCCAGGGCTTCAATGTATGAAGATGCTGTCTTGAAAGTGGCATCTATGGGTGGAAGTTTTGATCGAGGTAGAGTCCCTAAACGCACAAGCTCATTCATATTCATTAACAATGGCCGGCGAGTCACTTCCCAGGAAAAATCATCCACCTAACGAAGGGACCCTATTTTAGGGAATTCTGGCCGAGAAAGCTGAAGCAGGATCTTTGCTAGTTGTGTGTATAGCATTCTAAGTTGATCTTCTTTAATATTTGGGTCAAGGACTCCCCGCTCTTTATTTAGACATCCTGGTGTGTTGAGAGCATCATACATGGTTGTTGTATGTTCCATATGGCTCATTATAATGAAAGGGCTCAGATTGAGGGGGCTCTCCTCCCGTGTACCCGAGTGAAGGATGAATGGAACTGGGATTGATGTCTGGTCCGAGATATATCGCATCACAGCAACTTCATTCTGAACTTTTTCCTCAGGAAAAAGAATGGCCCCAGGCTGTGAAAAGCGGATGTTGGTCGCGCTGTATGTGTATTTCATTTGTAATGTGATATTGAAAGACCCCTTTTGAAGAATTATAAACTCGGGGTCGTCACCAGAATCATGCTTCAGGATAAATTTCGCAATCAGTCTCTTGACGTCGATATCAAGAAACTGAAGCAACCAATTGTCGGAGACATCGTCGGATTGTTCCCATGCGACATCGTCGTAACACATCTGGGGCTCCATGTTTTCAGATGCGTTGGCTGTTTCTCGTGGCGGGGCGATTAGTTTGGGGATAGGAAGGTCGTGACTGAAGCGGGGTCACAGGAGGAATACTACTGTAAATAGAGAGCGAGACTCGCAGTCCATCCACGATCTAGAGAAAAAGTGAAACAAGAGACCTATGAGCCATGAGAAATCGGGAAAAATCGCGTGGATGAGGAAAAGGAGCGTCAAGCAATCATCCAAACAAAGGTAGCGCCGAGGGCGACGCACTTTTAGACATTAGACATGCACAAAAAGAATAATCAAAAATAAATAAAAAGGAAAAAGTCAGGGGAAAGGAGAATGGTAACTGAGGCCGGTGGCGGTGTGCGCCCTCTTTCGGTTGCCAATCGGGATCTGACTTGGATGGGCGTTCGGTGTCGTTGAACCGGTCGAGTCCGAGAAAATCCAGTTCTACACCGAAACAGTTATCCAGGACATAGACAACACCCTTGGAGGGGTACCCGAACACCTTCACCCCAGGGCCGGAGCCATAGCCTACCCAGAAGCGACCTTCAGGCTCACGTTGCACACAATCGATCCTCTCCATTTCTGGTCGTACAGGGAATAGGATCTTTGCAATGGTCCGCATTATTGTGATTATTATCAATATCATTATTATTAACAGAAATGGAAGAGGGGATGTCAGGTCTTGACTCTGGAAACATGTGCTCCGCTCATAAGGCTTGCTGGAGATAAGCACCAGGAGCTAGGTTGGTGCAGCCTAGGGTTACATCTTCATGATCATTGCGATAATAATATTTTAACACCACTTCAATAAGCAATCCTTTTCCTTTAGTCTTCCCTACCTTCTCATCTCAAAAAGTCTCAAATATCTATGCCCCCCAATATCAGAAGCAAGCTTAAGGATAAAGGCCCAGTGTCAGGATTAATTACTTCTGAAAGTGTTGTCTCTGAACTGAGAATTATAGGGCCTTAGGCGCTAATCTGATAGAGCTCCAGCCCGTCGGGCATATGTTGGGCCTGCGAGTTATCATGTACTACATAGTCATCTGTTTATATCACGAGTTATAAAGGAGAACGGATGTATTTGTAACAAAATTTAGGAAGTTTCCGCTCACCAGAGTAAAATAATAAATATGACTGTTGAAATTACTGACAGGCAGGATTCATGGTTTCTATATCCTTTATTTTATAGTCAAAACAGAGCTCCTCTTATAGCCCTGAAATGCAAGCTGTTTGAGATGCATTTTCAATTCCCAAAGTAAACGTCTCTGTGTATTTGACTTGGTCGCATCATACATATATTACTTGCATCACTGATGACATACACACCCTCTCTGTAGATCCCAAAATTTCTTCTCAAGCCGTAACGGCATGCCACTAGCAGTCGGCTGAGCAGCATTCGGAAGGTACAATCTATGCGGTATGTATGAGGTATGCTCTGTGCAAGGCTAAAACACGAAACTAATATTTTCACCATGGTCATGATGATACAGGATATTTATGTATCAAGTCAAGCTATATACATGTGTATATATAAAATGTATCATTTTTCTCTGCGAAGGATTTGCTGGCATGACCGTCCTTTTCCAACCTTCAGCCCCGTGCGAAAACCAAAATAGGTAGCTCAACTATTTTCTGTTAACACCCTTTGGTATTGCTGGGAAAATACCTGGTAAAGGTAAAGGGGTCCAACCGGCTTCGTTACAAGTAATCATGCCCATCAACCCTGCTAAGTCTCCCCTAGCCAATGATAGTTGGTGTGACAATGGTCAATATCACCTTAATGGTGTCTGCAATACATGTCTCCCTTAAATTAATGTGCAAAGATATCAGGGCATCCATTGGGCAAACCCTCAGACCTCTTCATATGAGTAACGCCCTTGAGATGGACATACTGCTGCGTCACATCTTTGCTCGAACTCTCTCCATTGACGTCGAAATAGTTGATTCCAAATCCATTGTCATCGAAGAACCTGGCCGTACCCGCAACAACGTAGATGGTGAACGACTTGTCGGAAGCATAAATGTTTTTGGTCTCATGACGATGACCAACAAGGATATGGTGCACATTATACTGCTTGATCAGACTGAGGTACCTGCCACGCACGCGGTTGGGAAAGGTCCAGTATGCGTCAGCCTCATCCTCAGTGAATTCAAACGGGAGATGATGATGCGCGACAATGATCTCTTCCTTTGCATGCTGGGCGGCTTCGAGCTGGTTCTCAAACCAAGCCCACTCTGCAGCGGTGTAGCTCTCAAACTCAGTGAGATTGCTGATCAAGGTGACTGAGTTTAGGAGCACGAAGCGATATCCCTGGTGACTGAAGGAGCTGTGGTCGCTGACATTGTAGTCCCGGGTGAATTGCTCAAGGGTCGCAACATTGCTGATATCGTGGTTTCCGGGGAGAAGATGGACGGGCTTCTTAAATTGGGGGAATGTATCCTGGAAAGCCTGGACCTCGTAGTCGTATCTGCAAGTTGCTTTAGCCTAGGTTCTGGGAGGGCCACTTCACTGTTATGCATCTAGAAGGGTAGGAAACTGACCTGTCATTGGTCAAATCACCCACGGCAATGCAAAAGTCGAAATCCTCGGTGTTGACTTGTTGGGCAGCCAAACCCATACGGTAAGTATCATTTTGCCATCCATCAAGGCCAAAACCAATCTGGATATCGCCGAGTTGACAGAAACGGAAGGGTTTGTTGAAACCTGCAGAAACTTTTCATAAATCAGCCTTGGACAAAGGGAGGAACTGAATTGTATAGATGATGTTGATACACACCAGAAGGTGCACAAAGCGCAAGACTGCCAAGGAGGCCGACAAATGATCGTCGCATTTTGAGTCAGCAATTGGACGTTTCGTATCGAGCGTATCCCTGATAAAAGAAAGGAATACCGAAGAAAGTTGACCGTTACGACTCTACTTATACATGGGAGAGGTAGTGCAGTGCTGCGAATAGAAATGCTCGCCTATGGTGCGTGATATTATTTCCTGGAAATCCCCGAGTAATTTCCAGGAACATTTTCCAAGTCTACCTACAGGTATACAGTGGCGTACCAACCGGTTGGCTCTGGCAGTGCACGTGGAGAGGACGGAACCGTCGGAACGGCACTTCACATCAGCATGTGGATCTTGTGGGATTTTGGAGTACATGGAAGATTCCTTGATAGGGCCGTGCTGAACTCTATTTTGGCGAACAGACCACAGCTTGTCCTGAAAACCCTGACTGTCATTTCTGCTTTCCATTTCGGCAACATACGCCTCAGTAGACTAACATGTAATCGCATTCTTTACAAGAGATTGAAGCGGACAGCTACGCCCGAATCAGCCGGGATAGTATTACAGATACTAATATTCAGGTGAGTATCTGTCATGACTCATAATTATCCTTGAGACTCTTTAGTATATGAATTTACTCAACTAGGTTGGCAAATTCATCACCAGAGAGCCCAAGCCCAAGAATAAGGTGCGCTTTCCCAAGGAAATGGTTGCTAAGGCTGTTAATTCCCCATAATATTCCATAGCTAGGGTGTTTATGGTCACTGTTACTATATTTTTAATGAGCTAAGATACTAGCAATAGACCTGCCTTAATCAGGAGCTGGCTTGTCCAATATAGCAGCTGGGAAAAGGTGCCTATCCCTTCTATACTATAATCTACCAGATACAGGAAACACCATCAGGCCTAATCACTACAATAATATACTTTTTAGGCTAAGTAAATATATAAGTTTCCTTTCATCACTAAGTCATGCATAGCCTTTATACTTAGCAACAACACAGACTACAGAGAGCTTTCTCAATTTGCTCTCTCCTGCATAGTGCAGTCAATAAATAATGACCACTGTCCAACCAGAACTAAGCTATAGGGCCATGTAGTACAAGATGCATCCTTCTCTTCCAGCAGACATTAATAAGTGCAATGAACAATGCCGATAACGAGTGACGTCCTTACGGCTCAAATACACATTCTCACTCTGTGCCAGCTCTCACAAGAGCATACCTGAGACCCCCTTCGAAACGGACAGTGGCGAGAAAAAACATCTATATTGAACCTGAGACTGCTGGTGTAAAGGAAGTAAGGTACAATTTCACCTAGCGAGCTTAGCCATGGCTCTGATTTGCTTCAAGAGAGCCAAGATACACTGCGCTGGCCTCCGCGCCCGGGGCAATACTTATGGAGCCTACGATTCCCGCCGTTAGCAGTGCCTTGGCAACAGCAAAACAAGTGGATAATTCTGGAAAGACCTCAAGCAGACGGCTCGTTATCTGGATCTTAATTTTCCTCAGATCCCTCCTCGACTTCAGCCAAGTGTCCCGCTCCAGCTTCAGGTCTTTTATCATCCGGCTCATTGTCTTCAGATCTTTTTTCAGCCAGCAACGTCAACCCATGTTTCGACATCGGCTACAGCATCCTGTGGTGAATCGCGATAGCGCAGCAAATATCCCTGAACTTCGGCGGGAGAAAAGGTGCATTCCGGAATCTTCTCAGCGAACGCTTTGGCCTGTTCCGGAAGATCAACTGCTTCAGACTCCCACAACCCTTAGCAGTATATCGAATGACATAGACGGATACGAATTACCAAAGGTCTTGGGAGATATACTAACGATCTTATCCCTTTCACCCTCAAAAATGTTCATGGTAAATAGTGCATCTTATTAATTGAGCTACATGAGCGTACGTTCCTTAGCAGATATATTGTTGAGGTGAGGCAACCGAAGAGCACCTGCATAACGTTCACTTGATTCAAGTTTACTTCACTCATGTGCCTACATACAAGTAAACAAGCGCATAGGGATCAGCTCGGGATAACCATTAGAGTTCGGTTAATGTCCAATTGATGATAGAAAGGCGTGTGTCACATATGAAAAACCAAATATCGGCTTTAGATAGGCTACATTGGTCCTCAAAGCCTTGCAGCACAACTTCTACATCGATGCCAATTTAGACTGATGAACTATAGCCCATATGCCTCTGAGGCCTGGGTTGCGCTTCTTATGTTATGTAGTTCCGGATCGGGTGTGCTACACAGCCCGTCTGCTGAGTTGCCACTGGAGGAAAATACTGTCTTATAGGCCTGTTGACCTCATAGTTTAATCCCACGGACTTAGTTCCGCTCCGCTATCGTTCCGTCGCTTTGCTGAAAGCAACGCACGCATACCGGCTAGAGGACGTTTGACCCCTTTGACCTTAACTTTCCTCGAGACTTGGTGTCCAGGATGTGGACTATATTACCTGAATATACAACGAACCTTTCAACCGTCGTGAACATGATTATCGCTATTTATCTATATCTTTGGTGGTGAATATTCCCAGACGGCCAACATTGTCACTGCTTGAATACTGTGTCATTAAGCTGAAGTCTATACCGTCGGGGTACTGGGCCCTCGCCGAGAGGATACCACTAGGAGTCCATGGATCGGATGGGCTGGTAGTATTCCAAAGAGCTGGCATTGTAAAGCAATTAAAGCCCCGGACCTTGACTGCATTTTAGGTTTCTGCGTGCAAGACCCAGGCACTGATAACATAATCGTTTTCGTGACGCGCAGCAGAAGGCAGTTGACGGGGCCATTGCTTTCATTCTCAACGCCCATGCAGGTTATACGGATACTCAAAGCTAATTTGAGTAATCGTTGCATACTCCATTGCGAAGGATTCGACAGCAGCGCGAGGAAACCCTGGGGTTCTACCGAGACACACGCAAGAGATTCTTAGCACTATCCACAGAGATGAGCTTGCGAAACGCCCATAACTGCGAATAATTTAAGGGTCGACCAAGGGGGGACTTACATTCGATCAGTATAGTTTCATCGATGATCTTTTGGTTCCCAAACTGTTGGGAAGTGCTCGGACCAGAGACACGTTGATTGCGAAGGCCGCGTTCCAAGCCCGGAAGAGCCGCAGGAACCCTCATCTTTGCCAGGGCAAGCCCCCGAACGGGGATAATTCTACATTTTTCCAGATATCCCTCCACATCATAACAATCAAACCAGTCACCTCGCATGTCAGGGTCGACTCGTTCTGCCGCAACCTGTATTATGCTCGGCTGGAACGAAACATTGTCGGCGTCATAGCTCCTCTGGTTGTGTTTAAAATGCGTTCCTGCGCCACCAATACTAATAAAAGGGATATTCAGCTCCATAACGGTTCCGTGATGTCCACCGCTTAGAAATTCATCGAAACGCGCTCTGATATCTTGTAGCGTAAAGACTTTCAGAGGAAGCCTGAATTTGTATGTGAGTTCCTCAAGCTGATAAGACGGATTCGTTAGACACTGATGTCCTTGTTCGGCACAAGCACGATAGAGTCGGTGGGCGAAACTTGCTCCTTCCGGGCTGTATGTGCTGGACGGGCTATTCAGGAACAATGGTGTTGAATAAAGGGGTGTTGCTTGTGTTGGTATTTCCGGTACTGCAAGGTTAGATTGTTGGGTTATCTGGGCGGGGTATTGGCTGCTATCCTCTCGCCCATCCCGTACAGCAAACTCTAGGATGTCAGGAAGAGGGACATTGGCGACATCATAGGTGTCGTTAGCATTAGCTACATCCTGCTCCGTCGCATCAACAACACCTGCGTTCGCTTTTGTGTCTGGCACATTTGTCTCAGCATTGGTGGGTTCAGCGTCATCTTCTGCCACTAAAACTGCCCGATTTGCAAGTGATAGAGATTGCGCTATAGTTTGGTGGAGTCTCCGCGCAACATCCGGGTATGTTGACAAGACGTCGGATTTCATCAGATCATCGGTGAAGGATAGAAAAGTCTCGTTCATTCGCTCCACGAGCATTTCCAGTTCATGAACGCGAGCCTTCAGTGCTTGTAGCTCGGCCTCCTTTCGCGAGCGATATGCGCGCTGTGCTAACCTGACCTGGGTCCTCCGCCTCTTTGCTTCCTGATCAGCGTTTTTGGATTTTCGACAGCTGGAAAGACCCTACATTTGGGGACACATCTTGCTTGATCTGGCTTCTTGGACGAACCCTTTTCCTCCGCTCAGTATGATCCTCAGTAACGGAAGAAATTCTCGAATCCACCATCTTCGGCGAGAGAGGATATGTAGTTGGGTACAGACCGTACAGTCCGTCTCTCTTTCCCTTGTCTGCCTGGGCTGATCAAGCGGTCGCACCCGGGAAAGAGAAGGCCGCTTAGTAAAAGCCCTTTGTAAGAGATGGACACCGTCCTGCCTCAAGCGTTTAAAGGTTCGACGTGTCGCCAAGTATGCATAGGGAAGACAGCAACGTCAGGGGAAAGATGCATGAGACCGTTTATTCACTGACCCGGTGCTGCAGTATAGTATCTTGATGTCTTCTTGAAAAGACTTAAAATAACACAGGTCGACCGTTGACGGTCTTGCAATGGCGAGACCCGATATGAACTCAGAATGGACCAGTGGATAGAGGGCACGATCGTTGGTAATGACGTCATCTGTTACTGCTCGGATTTGATTACTATTCATGCCCGACTCCAAACGACACAACATTAGAACTGGTTACTATTCACCCCTTGTCTCGAACAGGGATAGTAATCAGACTAGCACTTTGATCTCCGAACGAAAACCCAGTGGCAAAGTTATCAGCTAGATCAGTAATCGTTATGCAAAATTATGTCTCAGCCGCTGATTCCCTATATATTAGTCGTGGTGAGTAGGGCTTTCTTTCCCACGGGACGGGTAGCCAATAACCAAGAACCTACAAATGTTGGAGACGCTTTAATTTTTCTCCCAGTATAACTACTCCTTTAGTACACCTCATTTACGGTCCTTTGGCAAGTTTATCAACGACCTAGATTGACTATCGAGTGAGACGCAGGGGAACACCTTCTGGGGTTATACCTAGTTTTCTATTTTATTTCACCCATGGTTTCTCAACACACTCATAAATGGTAGAATCATCCCCTGAATTCTTCAGATCTCCTTTCGCTTTCATGGACGTGGAAGTATGAATAGTAACTCTTATCATTTGCATGTGGTCTCTATCCTCTGTCGCTTGCGCCGGCAGTGAGGCTGTAAACTACATCAACTACATCAGCAACAGCAGCAGCAGCAGCAGCAGCAAGCCTTATAGTAAAGCGGTCGACCGTGATCAGAATGGTTTGGAACCTTTTTGTCCTTATCTGCCACCCGCGACGTTACCAAAGGCCGTGGGTCCCATACTAATAGGACTCAAAGACCGGAATGTATAGTAATCAATCCGGTCGGACGTGCTCCGTAATTCAGTTAAGACGGTTTAATAACTCATCATTCCATAAGGAGGTTTAATGTTGTAGTTGAGTGAACTTTTGATTATGCTGTCAGGGAAGGATTCTAGTGCCCTCTTGTGGCGAAGATATGGTACAGCGTGGAATGAGGTCTTGATCGTCTGGGTCAAGAAAGCAATATAATAATTAGGTGTTGTGCCACCGATACAACCCCCTTTTGGATTATTATTATTTATAAATTGGTGGATAATTGCTGGTTTCCCCGAGTTTATGCCTCTTTAAGCAGTTCATAACGTCTGCACCTTTACCACATCCGCCTGCCCTCAAACATGGCCTCTGGTTCATCAAGCATGGATGCAGAGCCCACACTTGCTGATGAAGGACTACAACCTGCAGACGTCAAGGATGATATGGAAAATGCATCCATCTATCATACCCCAGCGACATGGCACATGGCGTCCGAATTGCGCCAGATCAGGGAACGGGACGAAGACGGTGGGGAGAAGCCCAAAATGCTCGGCGTCGCCTGGAAGAATCTCACCGTCAAAGGCGTTGGCGGCAACGCCATGTTCAATGAGAACGTCCTCTCCCAGCTTTTCCCTTTCCACAGGGGTGGCAAAGGTACCAAAACCAAGACCATCATTGAGAGTTCGTTCGGATGCGTTAAGCCAGGAGAGATGTTGCTCGTTCTGGGGCGGCCTGGAGCGGGTTGCACTACGCTGCTGAACGTACTCGCAAACAATCGTCTCGGATACGAAGAGGTCAGCGGAGACGTCAGCTATGGGAACATGTCTGCCGTGGAAGCCAAGCAGTACCGTGGCCAGATTGTTATGAACACGGAGGAAGAGATCTTTTTTCCGACCCTGACCGTTGAAGACACGATCGACTTTGCCGCTCGCATGAAGGTGCCATATCAACTGCCGCATGGGATTTCGACACATGAACAATATGTCCAGTTCTATAAGGATTTTCTCCTGGGCTCGGTTGGAATCTCTCATACCGCACGGACGAAGGTCGGTGATGCCTTTATTAGGGGTGTTTCGGGAGGAGAGAGAAAACGTGTCTCAATTCTAGAGTGTCTCACTACTCGTGCTAGCGTCTTCTGTTGGGACAACTCGACAAGAGGCCTTGACGCCAGCACGGCTCTTGAGTGGATCAAGGCCATCAGGGTGATGACCGATCTCCTCGGGCTCAGTACAATCGTCACCCTCTATCAGGCGGGTAACGGCATCTACGAGCATTTCGATAAGGTTCTGCTTCTTGATGAGGGCAAACAAATCTTCTACGGGCCTCAAAAGGACGCTGTCCCATTCATGGAGAGCCTGGGCTTCATGCGTGATCCGGGTTCCAACCGGGGAGATTTCCTGACGGGCGTGACAGTTCCTACTGAGCGCATCATTGCCCCTGGACATGACGACAAGTTCCCACGCACCGCCGACGAGATCCGCACTGCATACGAACAGTCCCATATCAAGCCCAGGATGCTGGAAGAGGCCCAGAGCTACCCGACAAGCAAAGAAGCGGCTGACAAGACAGCCGTATTCAAAGAAATGGTTGCTCGTGAGAAGCATAGGGGTGTGTCCAAGAGGTCCCCCGTCACTACTGGTTTCCTCACTCAAGTAACGGCTGCCATTATCAGGCAGTACCAGCTTATGTGGGGCGACAAGGCGACTCTACTTATGAAGCAAGGGGCTACAGTTATCCAGGCACTCCTCGGTGGTTCTCTCTTCTATTCGGCCCCTGACAATTCTATCGGCCTTTTTCTCAAGGGCGGTGCCCTGTTTTTCTCTATTCTATACAATGCTCTTATAGCCCTATCCGAGGTTACCGACTCATTCACCGGCCGACCTATTCTCGCCAAACACCGCTCCTTCGCATTGTACCATCCGGCGGCTATCTGCATCGCCCAGATTGCTGCTGATTTTCCTATCCTATTATTCCAGGTTATGCATTTCGGTCTTATCCTATATTTTATGGTTGGCCTGAAGACCACGGCTGGGGCATTCTTTACGTATTTAGTCACCAACTTAATGACTGCCATGTCTATGACAGCTTTCTTTCGACTCGTCGGTGCCGCATTCCCCACGTTCGACGCTGCATCCAAAGTCTCGGGTCTTTCGATTGTAGCGCTGTTTGTCTACATGGGATATATGATTATCAAGCCTGAGATGCATCCATGGTTTGCATGGATCTTTTGGATCAATCCCATGGCCTACGGATTCGAGGCTCTTCTTGGAAACGAATTCCATGACCAGGTTATCCCGTGTTACGGACCTAACCTAATTCCTAGCGGCCCTGACTACAATGGTGAAGGGGGACAATCATGTGCCGGTGTTGTCGGTGCAGCACCTGGTGCGACGAGCCTGACCGGTGATGAATATCTCGCAGGCATGTCTTTTAGCCATAGCCATATATGGCGTAACTTTGGAATAATCTGCGCCTGGTGGGTGCTCTTCGTTGTGCTCACAATATTTTTCACCTCCAGGTGGAAGCTACTTGGAGAAGGGGACCGTAAACTCCTGATCCCTCGAGAGCTACAGCATAAATCAAAACATCTTTTGCAAACCAGAGACGAGGAAGCGCAACCCACGGAGAAACCTGTCAGCCCCGGATCTGATGCATCAGGGGGCAGCTTCGGAAAGGACCTGCTTCGCAACAAGAGCATATTCACTTGGAAAAACCTGACGTATTCCGTCCCAACGGCTGACGGTGGCCGTACCCTTCTTGACAACGTTCAAGGATATGTCAAACCTGGTATGCTTGGGGCTTTAATGGGCTCCTCTGGTGCTGGCAAGACGACCCTGCTGGACGTTCTCGCACAACGCAAAACCTCGGGCACTATCCATGGATCCGTCTTAGTAGATGGGCGTCCTCTTCCTGTTTCTTTCCAACGCTCCGCTGGTTATGTCGAACAGTTGGATATCCACGAGCCCTATGCGACTGTCCGTGAGGCTCTCGAGTTTTCGGCGCTATTGCGCCAATCTCGCGATACACCCACCGAAGAAAAGTTGCGATACGTGGACACCATTGTTGATCTTCTCGAGCTGAATGACCTTGAACATACCCTCATTGGTCGACCAGGCGCTGGTCTCTCTGTGGAGCAACGGAAGCGTCTTACTATTGGTGTTGAACTAGTGGCAAAGCCCCAAATTCTGTAAGTTGTGACCTCAGGCAAATTACTGTGGCCTCGGGCAGATTACTGACGCGTTGCGTGCACAGCACGAGCCTTGATGAGCCCACGTCAGGACTCGACGGTCAAGCTGCCTATAACACTGTTCGCTTCCTTCGCAAGCTTGCAGAAGCAGGCCAAGCTATCCTCGTCACTATCCATCAACCGTCGGCACAGCTGTTTGCGCAATTCGATAAATTATTATTGCTGGCTGCCGGGGGGAAAACGGTGTACTTTGGAGATATTGGCCAGAATGCGAACACAGTCAAGGAGTACTTTGGTCGCCACGGCGCGCCTTGTCCACCTGAAGCCAATCCTGCTGAGCATATTATTGAAGTTGTGTCGGCAGGCGAGAGTCGTGATTGGAACCGGGTCTGGCTGGAGTCCCCGGAACATGACAAACTCTCCAAGGAATTGGATATCATGGTTGCTGAAGCTGCGGCTCGACCTACAGCAGCAAATGATGATCCGCACGAATTTGCTGCTCCGCTCTGGACGCAAGTCAAGCTTGTGACGTATCGTATGAACGTGTCTCTCTTCCGGAATACCGAATACCTCAATAACAAATTCGCCATGCATATCAGCCTAGCGCTGCTAAACGGCTTCACCTTCTGGAAGATTGGAGATGCACTTACAGATCTACAACAGAACCTCTTTACTGTGTTCAACTTC